GGCCTGGAACCTTCCAGAACTGCGCTCGAGGGTATGTCTTCTCCACAACAAAGATGCCCTCCTTAAAAAGGTGTTAAATGCAGAGCTAAACCATCAGCTAATCAGACAAGAAAACATCAAGAGGCTTGCACAGGGAATCAGCCCTTCCAAAACAAACCGTGCAAAGTAAACGGGGACAGTTGTCTTATTTCTGTTACAACCTGACCAAATGATCACCGTGTTGAATCCACGGATATTTTACAGCTAGAGTATCTTAATTCTTATTTTTTGTAGCATATAAATGACAAACTCCACAGCAAGGTACTTAGAAGACGTCACAAGGCGGTCGATGGATTCTGGATTAGAACAGTGGGTCATTGATGCTCCGGGAAATGCCATACAGGCATGTCTGGCACACGGATACCAGGAGTTTTCCATAGGAAAACTCCTGTGAGGCTTCGGAATCTCAGGCTCCGCTTCAAGGAAAGATCTGCGTGCCAACCTGACTTAAATTAGCCTTGGAAACTGCTTATGGAAAATGTGCCAGCTCAGATGCAAATCCCTCTTACTTACCTCGTGATGACAACAAAAGCCTGATGAAATTTTACTCATCCATTAACAAAAAAGACTTTGCCCAGCGACACACGTGGGTGGGATTCCAGTAGGGTGACATTATGCTTTTGGCACGAGGACCTTGGCCCCCAAGAAAGGCAACCCTGTGGCATGACAAATGCAGGCACTCCACTACAGCAGGCCACAACCACATATTTTACCTGCTGACTCAAGAGGAAGAATGCAAAAATTAAAGTTCCAGCCAAAATCCCGAGATGGTAATCTCACGGAACAGTCCTTCAGGTAAAGATTTGTGATTAGAATTATACTTGTGAAAATACTAGCTGATTTCTAATTGCATTCATAGCAAGGTACATCCAAGGTATTTCATTGGTATCACTTCAGAAATCCACCGGAGTTAAAAAATGCTTATCTCATTTGGGTGGTGTTACAATATGACTTTTTGTACTACCCCCATGGATAGAGGTCCCTCCACGCTCCATTGAAATCAATGGCCAAACTCTGAACTCTCCTGTTTTAAGCGTGAAAGAATCTTCATTTCTCCTATCGCTGCCTCGTGTTTCATTTCTTCTCTCTGCCCTCCTTCCAAAACTGAAAGCAGCAGCAATGAGATCAGATGATTTCCTAGATCGCACGCGGCAGTGGAAATCCCAAAAGAATCCTCAGCTTTCAGGTGAAAAACGAATGTTGACACCTGTCCATCAGATTACTGCGCAGTACCAGGGGCTGGGGTTATTTTCTTGTTGAGGACAGTGTATTTAAGGATGTGGTTGAGACAAAGCATTTTCCGTTTGACTTCAGTTTGACTTTCAGTTTGAAACAGAGATACTACTCTTCTTGTTAAACGCTATCCCAGAAACAAGGAACGATTTTTAGAAGCGCCGCCAACCTGTTTGCGGCTCGGCAGGTTAAGGATATCCACATTACATCTATTAAAAAGCCTGTGGTCACGATAAATGAGAAAGGGTTCCCCTTCTTCACTGATTTTCTGAAAAACCCTGTGAAGCATTCACTTTCCCCTAACAGAATGTTCCCAATATTCGGGTTTTTAAAGCGGCTTGTAATCTTAATTGCTGTTCGTATCTTTGGGAGATCAAAGGGAGGATGTCTGTGATTCTTTGTATTACTCACTGCTACATTAGCACAAAGATCACATATTCATTTATTTTGGTTTAAGAGGTAACAGTCTCCTTTCACTGCACGCACATAATTACTGTAAGCATTCAGGGGACTTGCCAAATGATGCATGGGGGGAGGAGGAGAATCTTTGAAGAAAATTGTTCAAACGTAATTTAGTTCACTAATTGGCAAGGGACCGTTACTAACGAATTGCTTCTGTTTTATGTCAGTAGTGAATCAGGTTGATGATGTGTAACATACATTAAGTCAGTTAATGAGTATTAACTAGAAATGCGACTGAAACACAAGAAAAAGGTTTTTTTACCTTTAGCTAGCCAAGCAGAATTGCTAATAAATAAAAGGATATGTGTAAGTGGCTTATATGATTCCAATCTGCAGTGGAAAGACTTTTCTTAGAATCTGATGGTAACCACAAGTTTGTGGGAAAGAAAAATCAGACGCTTACTGTGGCAGTTCATCACAAGGTACTTCATTTCTAACCAAGCCTGAAATGAAAATGACTAAAAGTCATTACCGTAAAATAGCTGATTAGAAGCCAACGTGAACTGAGACAGTGAGTCTCTGGCCATGGCTACAAGACCACTGTGCAGTCAACTAAGCTGTGGATTCACTTGGTGGTGTCTGTGTGGACGCTCTTACTGTGTGGTAACGCAAGACAGATTACTTCACTTTCATTGTGGGACAAGACACTTTGCATCTTCCAGTGTGCACCAAGCAAGCCAGCATGCCCCCAGGCCCTGTGGTATCATGTGTACAGGAGAAAGACCAAGCTGTTTGAGTAGCCATCATCACAGACACGTTTGACTTTCTCCTATACGCACAACACGACAACATAGAATCACAGAATGGTTTAGGTCGGAACGGACCTTGACGACCTCCAGCCCCCCACCTCCCCCCAGCCCAGGTTGCTCCAAGCCCCGTCCAACCTGGCCTTGAACACCTCCAGGGATGGGGCAGCCACAGCTTCTCGGGGCAACCTGCCCCAGGGGCTCACCACCCTCAGAGTAAAAAATTTCTCCTAGTATCTCATATAAATCTCCCCTCTTTCAGTCTGAAGCCATTCCCCCTCATCCTATCACTCCATGCCCTTGTAAAAAGTCCCTCCCCAGCTCTCCTGGAGCCCCTTTAGGCACTGGAAGGCTGCAATAAGGTCTCCCTGGAGCCTTCTCTTCTCCAGGCTGAACACCCCCAACTCTCCCAGCCTGTCCTCATAGGAGAGGTGCTCCAGCCCTCGCAGCATCTTTGTGGCCCTCCTCTGGACACACTCCAACAGGTCTATGTCTTTCCTATGTTGAGGAACATGACAAGCTGAACATGACAAGGCTTTGGGTGCAGGCAAGAGTAAGCGGGCTGAAGGAATATGGAAGCCACACAGTCAAGCAGTGCCAGGGCAGAGCTTTCAGGTCAAGGCAGGTCCTGAGCTGTAGCTGTCCTGCGAAGAACGCAGGCCTCCTGTGGATGTGCAGGCGTGAGAGCAAATATCATTACAAAATCTGGGCAGAAGGGAGATTTCTGGTTTGCTCTGGCATGTGAACAAACTGGCTTATTAGGCCACAGGTGCAAAAATGAGAACACAGGACTGAAAGTGAGGATAAAATGGAGAACTCTCATGTTCTACAAGTTTTGTGAAATAGGCATCAAGCCACGAAACCTGCCAGACACTGCTGCAGGCTCAGGGACAGTCAGTGGTCTGTCTGCCTTGGGCCGAGTAAGGACAGCTCTGGTATTAGCATTAGGCTTGCAACGCATTACTCAGCTACCTGGAGAAGGAGGTCGACTGAACATCCAGGGGTGTTCAGCTGCAGTGTTATCTCTACCCACTCAGCCAGTCCTAGTCTGGCTTTCAACTCTTTCAGGTGGCCAACCAGTGTAAAAGCACAAGAGAGACGCATCAATCCCCACCTTTCATCCGGTCAAGGAAAGATCACTGTTTCAGCAGTGAGGAAGATTCCTGATGTCTGGAGCCAACCTCAAGCACTGCCACAGCAGAAGACATCATCATATTAATGGTGAGTCAAGCCATGGCACTGGAGGCCAAGATCCTTCAATCAGATGCCCTAGACACTACAGGTCAGGTATTTGTCAAGTGATCCTCACTGCTTTCTACAGAGCTGACTGACATACACTATGAAACAAACACCTTACGTCCAAAACCACTGCTGCTCTTCAAGTCCTGTCCTGAAATATCATGCTGCATATCTGAAATGTCAGGGATGCTGCCACACCACTGGGTGCATTACTCTGTTGTACTCTAGTGCTTTTATTTCCTCACCACCGTAAGATGTGAACGCTGCAAGCAACCAACATTACGTTGGGAAGAGAGTGCACTACATTCTCTTCTTCACTGTTTCATATTTCAGTATCTTTTGCAATGTGCATAATGTAATGCAAAGGCTGTTCCTTGGACATCTTTTTTAAAATGTCTAAGACCAATTAAGACCATTTCACTCCTCTTACTCCAGTAACAGCCATTAGGTCTTGACAGAGTGCTTGCCAGGCAATCTGCATGATGCAAAGCACAGCACCTTTGCTTCAAGGGACACAGAGATTTTTTTCTTTTGTTGCTGTTGTTCTCCTTACCTCTATTGGAAACCACAAGGTACCTTTATTAAAATTAGGTTTTAAATGTGGTATGTTTCAACACAATTTATATTGTACAACTGTCTAAGCCTCTTGGCACACGGTGGACTGCTGTTTTAGAAATAAACTGATAATACAGTCATAGCAACACTACTTGCAGAGTCAGAAAAAAAACATTCAGCACCAGCAGAAAATGTGTATAGATTACTTTATCTCTGTATTCAATATAGATAAAAACCCTTCTCTGAAAAAAAATCTATGCTCCGGAAACAGTAGATAGGATGAAGTTAAGCACAATCTAGTGAATCATGCGACTTGTTGCTTGCTGGCACTGATAGCTCAGAGAGTTAATCTTGAAATAGTGCCATAAAATATTGATGACATATTGGTAAAGCACAGTCCAGCCACAGAGGTGGAAACTTAGCCAGGGAGTGGGGGTAGAGGGGGGTGAGAGAGACAGAGAGAAAGAAGCACGCAGACACCATTCACATGGAATCATAAATCCTCAACTTTAAAACATCAAACAAGTACTGTTGGTGGACATTGTCACGACAATTATGGCGCCCGCTGTCTCTTCGCAATCCAAAGTTTGCACTAGACAGATAAACACGCAGAAATACATGCAGTATGCGGAAGAGTTAAATACTGGAATACAGTAAAGGTCTTTACTAGTCAGATGACAATGCAAACTCACACCTTCCAAAATGTATTCTGTGTCAGAATGAACATCATTTCCTGCCTTCCAGAAGCAGCTTCTCTGGTTCACTGACCTTCCTTTTCTTCTTGGGTCCTATTACCTCTTCCTGGCTAAACGCGAGGTTCAGGCAGCTTATCTGTAAGAACCATCAGAAACAGTGATCATTCTCACGATACAGGCTCCTGCTAGATGAGTCAAGTAACACAACTTCCAAAACTACAATGTGTTTTCTTGGATCCTCTTGGGTTTGTTCAGTGTGATCCTTTCTACAGAAAAACAATTAGGTAAGGAATCAAAAGTGGAATACTGTATGGAATCTGGACTGTGAGATTTGTGAAAGCAACAGGTTCGGCTTCAGGGACAGAGAATGGTTGTGGCACAAGGAACAGCACCCATCTCCCCATCGCTGACAGAAAACACCAGGAGCAAGGAGGCCTTTAAGAAATATAATAGCTTATAGAGCATAGCCTTTTTCACCAACCTCAGATAAGCATAAAAGTACGCAAAAGAAGGGAGGCACGTGTCAAATTTGGAAACAGCCTTTCAGGAAGAGACATACAGTACCTCTATTTGTACATCAGGGAAACTCAACACAAGTTGGTCGATCTCAGACTTCAAAGACTGCCCATGAGTCTTGAGAAAAATAACTAAGCAAAGCAAGCTTTTTTCCAAGAGGCTTAACTTCCCTCTAGAAAGACAAAAACCTCCCTCAAAAATACGTAAGAGCCTACAAACCAAAATGTTAAAAAACACGGATAAATGTATGTTAGAATATAAATGGGTCAACGGTACGGGCCATTCAGGCAGACCACAGAGAGACGGACAGCCAGAACAACAGTTGAAGCGTTGGCTCTGCCAAGTGACAAACTCACTTATTCGCGTTATCACATAACATATTTGCATTTTTACAATAATAATCCAGAGCTGCAGAAAGTAACACATGTTGTTGCCCACCCAGAAGGGACAAAGCACACAGTCTGGCAATGTAACCTCTCTTGCTCCCACTGGAACTGAGCTGAAGGGACACAGCACAGCACACCGTGTCAACTCTGCCTCCAAAAGAAAGTTCATTGGGATGAAAATAAGGTGAATGGAGACAGAAAAGACTGTTCCTGCTCCAAAATTGGAGTACTTTACTCCACTTTCACCGTAAAACATGAGGAATCCTGTAACTGGAGCAGGATAAACATAAGGAGTTAATGAAGAGCTACTCCAGAATGCATCCTGGAGACAAGCACAAGGTCTCCAGATTACAAGATGTGGTCATTATAGAATTCCCCACTCACGTCATCAAGGCTTGCTTTCTATCTGACCTTGGTATGAGGCTTCGGTAATCTCTACATAGCAATGGTCTTTCTAATGTGTGAAATAACTCTGATTATGGATTAACAGCAAAATAGTTTGAAACAACCTCACTCTGCCTCTCTATCATGTTTCAAATTGTTTTTCCTCCCCTCTTCCCTCCTCTTCATTATGAGCAACACAATATTGCTTAATGTACAATTTCCTTTCCATAAAAACAGAGAAAACAAGAATCTGCCAAAGTGGGACGGGCAGGTTCTCCTTCATCCTGCACACTCAGGCTGACAAAACTCCCAACGCTGCCCAAGGCGTATTTGCTTGAGGAAAGATTGATGAGTGCATCTCTGTGTTACAGCTCCTGACCTGATATCCAGCTGCTCAAACTGGCATTTGAGGCAGTTATTTACTTTCCTCTGCCTGGCATCGTTTTAACCTGTCTGCTTCCTTTTTTGAAGTAAAAGGCCCAGAGGGGGGAAACACCGCATCCAAAACCTCTCCAGTGCTAACACAGCTGCAGGGTTTGTACCCCGTCCTGCTGGCCACACAATAAAGCAAAGCCATGATCCCCGGTCTCCCGGCTCCCAGTCACCTGAATAAGGCCACTCTGCTTTTATTTTAGCCTAAACCGCATAAAGAGAGCATCAGCTAGAGCTGGTGCTTTTATTTCCTCTCTTGAGGAATGGATCTTCTGCAGCACAGGCAACTACTCAGTAAAGTTTTTAGCTCTTTGCTATTCCCTCCTAAATGTTCAGCATGGACGGGATACTTTTGAGGCAGGAGAAATAGCCACAAGGAGCAGCTGCTCACACAGAGTCCGCTGCATCTCTCCAACAGTTTGCCTCCCCTTTATCCCAGGCAGCATGACCACCTAACAGGAACCAAAGATGAGAAGAGTAAAAACATCTGTGCAAGCCATCAAGTGCTCTAGACAGGCACTATTCATCTATTGAATGAATAAGTTGTCAACTGTGTGAGGTATTTCACCGAAGCCAACGTGTCCGGTCCTGCCCCTGCCCAGCTACAAGTTCACATAGGAACTCAGAGCCAGGAACAGACACCAAGTCCAACTTCCAGGTCCCATCCTTAACCAAACACTCAAGCTTCTTCCCCAGAATGTTGCTCTAAATGGGATTAAATTAGATCCTACGTATGTTTATTTGACTGTAACCAGAAAGTAAACCTCTTAAATGGTGTGGTGAAAAGAAGGAAATCCCTCCCATTGACTAAACATACCATCAAAGCCTCCAGAAGTTGATTAATTCTAATTTTTCCCACGTACTGGTATGCCTGACTTAGAATAACTGATGGGAGGGCTTGCGCTGTACGTATGTTGCGGGTTTTTTTGTCTTACACAACCACTACAGGCCCTCAGCTCCCTGATGAGCCAGGTGCTATAAAAGCACGTAGTACAAGGCCCTTGCTTAGCCTGCAAAGAGACCGTGCCGACAACAGGACAGGCCGGACAAGTCCAGATGCAGTAGCAAAGAGAGGAACAGAGCCGTGACCTCCTGACTCTGAGTCCGAGGTGTAGTTCAAGGTCTAGGTCATACCATGAACGCACAGTGAGTCTGACTCTCCTGTTTTACAATACCGCACTACGTGTAAAAAAGTGATGTGTTGCCGCAGAATTTTTCTGTAAAAATACAGCAAACTTGTGAATCATACAAGTGTTACTAATTTCTGGCATAAAACTAACAGGACAGCTGCACATTGTCTGGAGAAGATATCAGGCTAAAAATAGATTAGACTTAGATTAAAGCCTTCCCAAGGCAGACTGGTGGATGAAACAGAATGAGCAGACCACAGATACACTGCTATTCTTAGATAGACAAAATCAGGACCTAGTTTTGTGCTCTGCAATTTGCAATCCCCAGTGTCCCCACTTATTCCGGCCAAAAATTCCCAGCATAAATCGAAGCAAATTTACAGCTCTTCTGACATGTGTTTTGCTTCCCAAGGCATCCTATGCAGAAAAGCTAAAATTGCACAAGAGCATTCGACTGTGTCCCTCTTTGTCCCTGGCCTGCCCCATGCTGAGGTTTGGCACTTGGCAAATTTTATGCCCTTAGAAGAGTTCCCTTTGTCAGGGACACAGAGCATTTAGTTTGGTACCTTGTAACTACAAGAAGCACATTAATGTCAAAAGAAGTCCAGTTCCATCAAGCGAGCCAGAAGAATAAGGACTGAGATACAAGATTTAACTGCTGAAATAAGGCAAAATGATGCTCAGGTGTCTGGGGATGTCTGTCACCACCAGGAAACTTTAACCAGAGAGCACCAGTGCCTGATGTATCCTGTGATTTCAGCTGCAGCTAACATTGACTCGAGAGCACAGCAAATGCTTGCCACTTTCAAAAATCAAGCCAGCGACTCTTCAAATTGATCTCCTAAGACCTGTAGCATCCCTGGTGAACACCCATTTCTCTCAGGTTGACGGCAATAATTCTCATCTACTCACTGACAGTTGGCTGCTCCATGCTCTCCAAGCATAGCAAAAATCAAGGTTCACAATGTATATCATGGTGTCCAATGAAAGGACAAAAAGAAACAAACTGAAATACAGGAAATTCCATTTAAACACAAGGACAAGCTTTGTTTTTACTCTGAGGGTGATCAAATACTGGCACAAGTTGCCCAGAGAGATTGTGGAGTCTCCATCCTTGGAGATATTCAACACCTGACTGGACAAGGTGCTGAGAAACCTGCTCCGCTTCACCCTGCTTTGAGCAGGTAGGCTGGACACCACGATCTCCAATTGTCCCTTCTGACCTCAGTGATTCCGTGAAGGCAGCGCAGTGGTTAAATGCTCAATGCAGGGCTCAGCACTGGTCTCATATCAGTTTCCAGTAAAGCGATTGCACTGACATCAGTGGAATTAATCCTGGTTTTCATCTGTACAAGTGGAGGAGAATCATGCTGGTTAGCATGAAAGCCAATTTACGCAGGTGGAAGAATGAAAGACACTCACTGTGGTGCTTCTGTGGAAACTTGCCACATTTTTCTCCCCAGGAAGCCATGCCAACACATCACTGACTACCACTAGTCCTCTTCCTTTTCCATAGACCACTGTTAAACTCTCTGACATTTAATGCAATATCTTTTTCGCAAACTGGAAGTCTCACAGGCCTACTGTGTACCTCATGTACCTTGTAGTGTTTAAAGGATGAACAGATTTGGCCAGAGTGTAAAAAAAAAAATCTTCAAAAATACCCAATGAAAAAGAATTTATCAGTCATTCTTACAGCCTCTTCCAGGGCCCTCAGTCACACTGTACGCTGCCGAGCTGGCCACTCTGACCGCAGGATCACAACCCAATACGCCTCCCGAAACTGGAAGCCTTCCTCCTGTAAAATCACAGTGCTGTAACTGAGGAGGCGAAAAGCAATGGACACTTCTTCTGCCTAGTAGGCTGCTACCCAGCTTAGTCCCTCACGGGATATTAGATCTGTCCAACCTTAATTTATGCTGGTTTCTCTAGAGGGTCTGGTTGCTAGCATGTACGTTATGAACACATGTAAAGGCAGCCAGCGCAGAAGCTCCATGTCTTCCCCCAGATGTCCCTGGGGTAGCTGTCAGGGAATCTGAGGGGGCAAGGGTTAAATCTCCCAAGATCTGCGGGGTGATGTGCCTCACCTCTGAATGAAGAGATCACTTGGAAACTGTTTCCTGCACACTAGACAGGGATAACTCATGCAAGGGATGAATGGCCCCAAGATACAGCTAAGGATCTGACGTGAATTGAGAGAAGCCAGGAATTTCCTGACCTCCCTGTCTCACTCCTCCCAGAATGGCCTGAGCTCACAGGAAGGAGAGAGGCAAGCTCATCTCTGAATCTTTCTCTCTTCATTGTTTGGGTCTGTGTAGCCTCAGCTGGTTTGGAGGAGAAAATGTTCTGGGAACTTCTCATCAGATACAGCTCTCTTGATAGACAGTTAGAGATAAACCTTTCTTTTTTTTTTTCTTTTTCTTTTCTGCAAAAGTTCAAGATAATGACATTGCCACAGAAAAATGCTTTCCTATTGCTCTGCAAATGGCAGGCTTCACCCTTCAACTGCTTTGTGTCATGGCAATTTTAAAAGTGGTTTGCCTGGGAAAAATCAGACAACAAAGGTCTTGATCTCCAAGCTGTTATTCTGCTATTGAATCCACTTGCGCTGACCTTCACTTTCAGACAGAAGCTGTGTACAACACGGAAGCTCAGCAAAGGCACACGGATCGGGATGACCATGGCCTGGGCACCAACAGGACACTGATCACTGGCAAACCCGGCGGATATTACTCACAATGTGTCATCTGTGAAAGACTGTGTTCACACTGGCTTCCACCGCTGACACAGTCCCTTGGAGAGCTAGGACAGGGCCAGGTAGCCAAGTCTTCTGCATGGGAGCAGCAGCTGGAGGCTAGACAGGCTATCCTCTGAGGTCTAAAACAGCACTGATTAACAACACTTAGGTATGAAGCTCTCCCTAGACACCCAACTTTCAGATAGCTCCAGTTAAGAGAGCTAATCCGCATGGCAGAAATATGCCTACAGCAGGCAGCGAATCGCAGTGCAGGGACCCCTTCGCTACCATTGATCCAAACTGTTTATGTCCACACAAGGCCAAGTGTCAACAGGCTTCCTCAAGTCCCACAGCACTCTAGTAGCATAAGCACGGCCAGTCTAGCAGCATAAGCAGTGTCTGGCGGTAGCTAATGAAGCCAGAAACTTGGGAGGCAGAACTGACTTGTGCTGTGCTGATACGGCCACACCATTTCCAGCTCTGGTGCAGGCTCGGTCAGGGGCAATTCAGGGCTCTCTGCACGGCTGCTTCACTGTGCAGTGAGACTGTGCTCTAAGGACCACCCCAGAACTTCAGCCCACAGCTTCCTGATGGGAGATAAAAGCCTGCAGAGGCGTCCACATGGTCAGATTTTACTCATCTTCTAGTTCTGTTTCATTCCAAACTCATTCCACTGCAACATGTTTCCTTACATGAAGACAAAGCTTACCAAAATCAATTTGCAGGACAAGAACATTAAAGGATTCACAAAAGGATAAAGGAGTATGCTGAATTATTCAAGAAGTTACCTTGAGTTCAGTGCAGGACCCCCTTCTCATCAGCAGATTTCTATGAGCTAAATCAATGGGCAGCAATTCCCCATTTTACCCAACTCTTCACAACTCCTAGAGTGCCAGTGGAACGTAGCAAGCTGCATAAAGATAGCACACTGGGCCAAATCCTTGGCTGATGCAATCAGAAAAACTCTCCTGAAGTCAGCAGAGGTAGGCTAATTTACATGCTGGTGTCTAACTCGGGATGATTAAGTACAGAGATGCTTTGCTGGGAAAGGGCAATCTCTCATTTGATCCTAAGTATCATCAATCATGAGATTGCAGATAACAAGCCAGTTGAGTACATGTAAATTTTTCTCCAATCTGAAAAGCCCTCTGTCAGAGGCGCTCGGTGGCCATTACTGAAGGCCAGTTACAGTCCTAACTGGACAGGAATAGCTGGTGCTCTTTTGGCAGATCTGCATCCTTTGCCTCTCCCCATGCCGATTAGATAAAAATAAGCCTTTAATACTTTCATTCCTGGTTTTCCTGAAGAGCTATAGGTCAGGACGATAATGACCAATAAATTCAGTTCCAACAACACAGTTTTTATTTTTGATAACCACGGAACCAGAAGGAATAAAGCATTTGACTTCAGATGAAGAACAGTAATGGGGTCGTCCGCATTTCCAAAAGCAACTTGTGACTGTGGGTACCACATTTTTGAACTCAGCACTTCTTGAATATCAAATTCTTGTACTGATACCAAATTCTGAGGCTCCTCAAATCGTTTTAGTTAGTTCTGAAAATGTTGGTCTGAAAGTTTAACTGTACAGAGAGCACCTTTAAACCCACGTCCCTGAGGCACTGCTCCATGGACAGCTGACCAGCCAGCACTGCGCTGCCACCAGAAGGGCAGGTCTCCCTCCTGGACCCTCTTTGCCCATTCCTCACTGTCCAGTCTTGCCCACTCCCTTACGGTAGCGCTGGTACTTGAGCAATCATTCTGTCAGATAGTTCAAGGGGATCTTCTTCTGGTGGAAACCTAACACTCAAAGTCATGATTTAGCACTGCAAGTCTAAGGGCTCATGTTGGGCCAAACAAAAGCAGACCTCCGTGGCCCAGGCTAGGTGGTTCCCCAAGGCCACACCAAGCTGATTAAACTCCGAAATCCAGGAGGAAATAAGTCACTGTGGACACCTTATAGCTCCTTAAAGCAGAGAGCTTCTCCAAACACACCTACCAGTTGGAAAACACTACTACTTGACTGTACTGTAGTCTGGATAGCAACAAGGTGTTTGCATTCACACCCCAACAGGACTACTCCTACCCATCTTACCTATACTTGACCCTGTTAGATAATACCTAACTCAGACTTCCCATCCACCCAAGCTTGTCCTCATTTTTTAAGACAAACTTCACTCACCAGTTTGGCTTCCTGATTCAAGTGGAATACACAATGGTCATTTGTCTTAACCACTTCCCTCAGAAAAGAAGGGAAAGTCCCTCTCATATGGAAAATAGTGTCAAATTTTTATTAGCGCTGGCTTTACAATGATGATCTGCACTTTTTAACTAGTGACTTGACTTTGTTTTTCCCTAAACTGACTGAAATATTAGCCAACTTATAAGCTAGGATGGTTTAAAAAAATAGTATCAAAGAATACATGCAAAAAACCCTCTGCCATGCAAAATCTACCAGGCAGAGGGCTTGAGACTGGTTTTTTTTTAAATCTTTGGAAGCATACAATGGGTAAAGTGACTCTTCCATTTTTCAGCAACTAATGCTGTTTCCACCACCTTCAGACACTCTCACTATTGCTACCGTATTCTAATGAAATGCACATGCTGCAAGAGAGAGGTGTCTGGTGTTCTGCTTACAATCGTGACAGACCCGAAAGAATGTCAGAGCATGAATCAGTAGGACAACCACGAGTTACAAACAAAACAGGCTCCTGTTTTCACACAGACGACAGAATAAACAATGATCAGAAGGAAACTGGAGGATGTGACACAAAAAAAAAATGTGGTTAAAGTTTGAAAAATACCAGCCTATGCACAGAAGTTCACTTCTAAGATCCAGAGTCAAGGCAAATACTTCACAGATGCCTTTTGAATGACACGTTAAGTTGTAGTCTCCAGTTGCTGTCTGGGTTAGACACCCCGGGATTCTTTTCAACAGAGGCGGGGAAAATTTTAGTAGCAATTTCCTACTCTCATTAACTTATCCTGTAAAGATTCATTTTCTGAACATTCAAGCTCACACGATTTTCAACTAATTTGAATGGGAGGGAGATCAAGTGGCAAGTCTGGTGGTATTCAGAGATTTGCCCTGTCACCGAAAAATCCTCTGCACAAGACCATGAATTTGAGTCCTGATTCTGACTCAGGGTTTGGCCCGGGCAGCCTTCAGGATGGAATTAATTTCACATAAATTTACTTATCTAAAATTACATGTCTGGTCTACCCTAGTTCTTTGGGTTGCCCCAACAACCACTGAAAAAGACATCAGCACCTCCAGGGGATAATTCTTCCTATCCTAGAGAGGTAGCCAAAAAGGGATAGGATCCAGTAAGTACCTGTGACTCACATGTAAAGATAGTCTGGAAGCAAGAAAGGAGAGGTGGAGACCATGTTAGGCAACAGACAAACACACCCTTCAAACCTAACAGGGGGTGGTGATTTCAGAACCTTAATCCAAAAACACACACAGGTAAACCAGCCTGGTTGGGACACTGATAGTTTAGTCTGTGTGTGTAATTCACAAGTGTCAAATCCAGAGAAGAGTACAAAACTCTTGTACTGGATGTATGAAATAAGCTGACCACGGAAAGTTTCCTCCTTCATGCTTATATCCCTATGCCCTAATACTTTGTAGTCTCTGTGTATTTCGATACCACACAATCAATCCACCAATGTTAGTTAAATCTTGTGCCGTCCCAGATGACATAACGTTCCGTGGAAATAAATTCCACCTTGCCTGGCGTATCTTAGAGCCACTATAATTTGCTCACCTGCTGAGATGCCCTTGAGCAAGGTATCCTGTCTGTCTCCTTTATTCCTGTCATCTCTCCACCTACAATCCAAACATCGTATCAAAATTAGCTCTGAAGTTAAAACCCTAAATTTAACTGAAAAAAAAATAATCCAGAAGCCTGACTAAACCACTGCAGCAAAATCCCATGCCTGATGTGAAACTGCAGAACCTTTGGCAGTGCCAACACTGGCAGTTTATTCCTGGAAACAGAGATTTTGGAATAAAGCGTCATCTGAACATGCAACACATCTACTTGCAGCAGCTCCTATCAATTATACTTAAACTCCATTTTAGCCTGGTTTCCTAAGAAAACAAAGCTTATGCCTGCGTATGCTCTATTCAAGTGTGTATGTGTATGGAGAAGGAGGAGAGCCAACTGATAACTATTGACCTTATTAGACAGTTTCAATAAAATTTGATGGGGGATCCCAAAGCATCTCAGTTCATCAAAACAGGTAACTGGTTAGAGGAGGAAGATCCTGTTAATATCCCCACAGTGGAAAAGGTGGCAGTATGAGTTCACCCCTTATTAGTCATCGGAGAATCTGCAGGAGAAAGACCTGAAAAGGTGACTTCACAGGCAGAGAAGCCTCTTAATTCCACCGCTCGGGGATCTCAGGAATGCTATTTACCATTTTGTCACTAGATGGTATTGTTCCACAGGCTATAGCTGAGAGCCTCAAAGGTCAAATACAGCATGGTATATCAGAAGCTAGGTTGAGTGAAGTGCAAGAAAAGGCTTTTTTCTCATGTATTTTCATGTATGTTTTCACATATGGAAGTCATTAGCAAAATCAAACTGGAACAGCTGAAAGGAAAGAGCTTTGGTGAAAGTGTAGATAGTGTAACTCGGTATTGAACGAGCTGTGCGTTTCCTCCATATCTGAAAGAAAAACTGCTGCGAGAAAGAGGTGGAAAGATATTGATAAAAAATTGAATGCTTCTGTTAACAAACCAAGCATATACAACAAGCCCCTTATTATAGTTTAATCTGATCTGACACAAAATTCAAACAGCCTGAAAAACTCTGTTCATCCATTTCACAAAGTGAGAAAACCTAAATATTATGCCAGCACAAGCTCCTTTGGTTTTGATACTGGGCATTTACCTGTGCCTTGAAGGTAAAAAGAAGATGCTTCCGTTTTCAGGCCTGGATGGGTGTCACTTCTGTGCTCTCCACGCTCACTTGAATCTGCTCTGACAGGGACAGGGTGACTCTGTAAAGCAAATGATGCTTTGACTTAACAGCATAACCTAAAAAATATGCTCGGGTGGTAAATCCATAAACCCAGCACTTATTAGTGGGATGAGATTTTCACAGCTCCTCAGTGCCCAACCCTTCCTTATCCCAAGCTTACAGGTCTTTCAAGAGAGAAATTTTCTAAGAAAAGACAGAATTCCGGCCTAAATGGCTTCCTGTCTTCAGGAGTTACGTTGGAGTTTATTCTCTGGCACTGACCACCTAAAGTTAAATTGTCAAGTCTGAGCTACCAGTCCAGGCTGCCCCTTCTGTCATTTTGGAGAGGCACCACCAGAGGACCATTTATTCCAGCCAAACTTGGTGCCCAAGGAAATTATCTGAATCACCTGCTAAAGATGCCGCCTTCTCCACTAAGCGCAGAGGGGGAGCTAGAGAAATCAGACGCAGCACACAACTTTCAGAGGGCTAGAGGCAGGTGGGAAGAATCCCACCTAACTACACCGGGGAACATGGCTTAGTCCTGAGAAACGCCAAGTGGAAATGCAAAGTTCTTTGCAATTTTCTCCGTTTTGTGCACGTCTGCATATAAGTGTGTGTGTGTGCACACGCATGGGTTGTGTGTGTGCACGGGCACGTGCTGTGTGTCTCTGTACAATCACTGCCCTCTTCTGGGAGAACATACTAGCCTCAGGAAATCGGTGGATATGCTGGAGTGAAATTCACTTTACGCCTATGGAATTCCAGCCTCAGCGCTCAATCTGCTGTAGCGCTGCT